CGCCATAAAGGGTGGAATTCCTTATGATCTTTCAGCGTCATATGATCTTAAAGGGGAGGACTAATGCTATTTCATGCATTCTGACTTATTTACACTGCTAAAGAGTTGGATTCTCATGCTTAACATGACCAGAGTCTCAAAAAATTTCTGTGTCAAATACACTCCTACAGGGTTCGTATAAGTTTCTTTTGAGTATGCATGACGCCATAAAGGGTGGAATTCCTTATATGGGCTCTTCTCCCAGTAGAGCACACGCGCACAGCAACCAGAGCGAGAGCAAGAGTGCAACATGCTTCATCCGGGTTACGGAAGTCTGTATCTAATATATATATGGCTGGATCTGATTTTTAGCCATAGTTAATTAAAGTCAATAAAGTTTTTGTTCCTGTTTTATTCATGTTGATGTCACAGCTTGCAGACGATTACTACGCAAAAGCTTCTTGTTCTTGTGACTCTTTAGCTCCGCCCACGGCACGCCTCCAGGAGCTCGGCTGTTTTCGGAATCGTAAAGCTGTATCTTTCTTTTACAAATCTGATAAAACTAAAGACTCTTCGGAGATATGAAGGATGCAATACTACTCTATAGGTACTCTAGATTAACATGAGGTTGGCAGAAACTGTGTGTTATGTCCCTTTTAAAATATTTACACGTTTGTCATGTTATCAAGAAATCTCAATAAATATTATCTAAATTATTTTTTAGCTTATTTTATTTACTCTATAGGTACTCTAGATTAACATGAGGTTGGCAGAAACTGTGTGTTATGTCCCTTTTAAAATATTTACACGTTTGTCATGTTACCAAGAAATCTCAATAAATATTATCTAAATTATTTTTTAGCTTATTTTATTTTATTGATGCTGTTACAATTTTGCCTCCTCCTGATCTCAGTTTTTGTTTCCTTGTGATCAGGCCATCCATGGGCAGGGTATAGAGAGGCACATGCTGGGTCTAAAGATGATAGCCATTGAGGACCTGACGTCTTTACCTGAGATCTTCATGGACACGTCGTTCGCTGTGGCTTCACATTTTAATCTGTATACAAGTCAGGTTTGTAAATTCTGTTCTTGACGGCTACTCCAGACTATGTACACACCGCATTTAAATACGGTTGTCGCTTCTCTTCTGGGCACTTAATAACAATCTATATACACAGAACTTGGCAATTTATGGAAATTAGCTTGGAATTGATTCACTCTAATGCCATCTTATATTGAATGATATCTTGTTTATCTTTTTCAATATAATGAAAGTGAGTGGGAGAGTTGGGTTTGTCAAGAAAAGCATCATAAAATAACCATAAGTCCACATACATTAATACTCAAGGTTGCTTTCTCCAAAAACTGCTGTAATTTAGTTTTACAAGACTATTTCCAACATTTAACAAGCTTGTTTTTTTTTGTTTTTTTTGCTACTGTACCTTTAAGACTTCTATATGCATATGACCTCTGTTATTATTAGCTAGCCTCTTTGCATGGGAAATGAGTTGCAGTGCTTTCTTACATCTTGTGGGTTTGCATAGTTGGCCTGCTTTACATTGTGTCCGGTTCACAAAACAAATGCTCACACGGTTTAGGCTGAAGTGATGAGATAAGGGACCTTTCTACAAATAGACTTAAGCTGCTCGTAACATTGAGCTCCTTCAAAGGAGGTTATATGCACTAGCATAAAGGTTATACAGTATGCACTAGCATAAGTGCTAACCCTAAGCCAGGAACAGCACAATGCTTGGTAGAATCCCAAAATCAAGATACAAACAAATAATAGTACCCTCTTCTGGTATATCTATGCTACTTCCTTTCTAAATACTGAATATGCACTGATAATCAGGTTTGTCCCGGTGGTTATGGTTTTGTTAGAGACTCTTGTGTAACAGTGTCTCACTGTCATGTAATACCCTATAGTTTACACTACAGATACATAAATCTGACAGATGCTTTTCAGAGGACACTTCTGTGCTGCAACAGCTTTTAGCTTCAGTTAAAGCAAGGATTGTTTTGGAATGTATTTACAACTGTACTGGGTACTAGGGGTCTTGCAGGATAACAATATTGATGATAACTGTGATATTTAAGAAATAATATTGATATCTTGTTAATACTACACATACGGTAATCACATACATCTCCTCTATTTCTCTCATTCTTCCTCCACGTTGTACCGTTATAGAGGGCATTAGCTTAGCATTCAAGCCGAGCCTCGGGTTCGAGCCTCCTTTAAGTACAGCAAGCTAAGTTTGTGTACCATTATCTATCAAGACTAAATGGGCAGGCGAACATGTGAACCATCATTAAAAGGAAAAAAGAAGGCAACGACTCAGTCGCTTTATAAAAATATGCATACTTCCCTACTATGTAGTAGGTGAAAAACAGTATGTGAAAAGAGTAGCTTGTCTGAATTCTCAGTATTCATTATACCTAAGTGAATTAAGGTGCAGTCGCATTTACCATTGTTCAGCAAACTTTTGTGGGTGAACTCCAGTCATTTCAATAAGAATCCATAAGATACAACAGAAATTTACTGCTGAAGGCGAAACATTTCTGCATACAGATGTCGCAACGGGTTCAATTTGGACACATGGATTCGCTGCTTTGACTTGTCTATTGACAATAGACAATGAACCTTTATTGCCTGCAAAATGTCCTGAAATTTTACTAATGTGACTGCACTTTACAACTTCTGACAAGATTCTACACATTCAATTGACACTTCACTATCCCGTGAGGCCATGGGAGAGGATTTGTGATAGAGCCCGACCAATATGGGTTTTTTGGGGCCGATACCGATATTAGGGAGTAAAAAAAGGCCAATATTGATATATCGGCCGATATTCTTTGTGTATATTAAAAATGAGTCTGACATCAGTGCACTGAACAGTAAAGTTGAAGTTTATTCAACTTTAATCCAATTCAATTCCATTCAACTTTATTCCGTTGAAGTTTCTTTCACTTCGGAACATTCATTCATGGATTTGCGCCACCCTCCGCGCGTCGGTAGCCCCCCGGGATCGCTTGATTGGTCGGCGCCGGACCGTGAATTTAACCACACGTAACTCCCGAACCCCGGGGGCTATGGATGCGGGGGTGGTCTCATTCGAAAGCGGGCCTCTAGACGTACACTCGATTCGCTTTCGAGCGGGTTCCTCGAGCTGAAGGGATACCCCAAATTTGGTGCGGATTCGCCGCGCCGTTACGGAGATATGGCCGTTCAAAGTTTCAATGGTTTTCCATAGACTTAAGCTTTAAAGCGTTTCATCCAGGTCGCCAGTAGCAAACAATGGAGTGCGCTCTGCTGGACAAACTAAGTAATTACACCATTTCAAGCATTTTATCTGCGTTATATATTCTGTAAAAAAAAAGTCGGCCGATAATATCGGCAAAACGATATATCGGTTGGGCTCTAATTTGTGATGCAACTAACGCTGGTACTGTAGGTCACAGGACAATGACAAGATGAATTACATTCATACTACACACATTCACACTATATAGAACAGACTTTTTTAAACAGTCGCAAAGTAATTGCTTATTCTGAAGAAGTACCTACTTAGAGAGTATGCGATTTTGGACGCAGCCAGTTTAGCTACTACTGCCACACATAAATCACGTCAGAGGAGATGACAGATGAAAGCGAGACACTCGACCCACAGCTAGCCAGTTTTTTTGATTCCAAAACAAAATAAATTTAATGATGAATTTGCTAGCATTCTTTGGGTGTACTGTCCCTTTAAGAGTTTGCATGCTGTGTAAATCTATCTGCTGTTGTTGTGAAATGCAGCATTTTTCATGTAAGCTGTGGTTGTATTCTTTGTTTTTCAGGTTGGATCAAAGACAGACTGTGTTATGTGTTTGGGACCCATGGTTCCTGATGGTTACGGTATCTGCTACAACCCCATGGATGACCATATCAACTTCGCTGTGACCGCCTTCAATAGCTGCGAGGAAACAAACGCCACGAAACTGTCACAGTTTCTAGAGGACTCGCTTCTGGACATGAAGACTCTTCTGGAGCAGGTGTCTAAGACCCAGTGAATGACGAAGCCCTGAAACTCACAGAAGCCCTGAAACCCTTTCAGGAGGCTTTTTACTACTTTCAGTGTCATTAACCTGACATGTAATATTGGCTCATATTGGTTTTCCATATCTTTAAGGTCACATGTTTGATTTTTTTCATTATGCAGAGACTATAAGTAACTAAGAACACCATTCTTAGGGTGATTTCCTTGAAAAGTGTAAACATTGTGACTGTGTGGTGCTTTTAAACATTATTTGTTTGTTTGAGCAACCTGACCAGTCTGACACTGGTCTGTTGGGGCTGTTTGTCTAACCACTAGAAGTCAGGAAACTGGTTTGAAAACAGTCATTATTTTCACATGGTATATAGTGGCATAGAAATTACACACTTCACCTTTCAGGGAAGTGACTATGGACTTAGAGGCTACTACAGACATAAACAGGGACAGCCAGAAACTCCTTCTTTTTTATTTCAGTTTCAACTGTAGAAATTGTAAGTGTGAGAAAGCTCTTGATATTATCCAGTGCCATATGTTAAACCCAAAGTATACTTCAGTTTTTTACGTATGCGCTAGGGTACGTGTACAGTTGGTGTGACATCGATTTTGGCTTCAGTACATATCGATCATACTGTACAAGTGCAGTCTTTCTTTTTTTTTTGACAGAACAAAAAATCCACATAACGCATTACATACACACAGACATTATCATTTTATGTTATATTTATGTTTGTATTATTGATTTACTGTGTTTTTAACTTGTTTGTATTGTTGCATTGTGGGACAAGAAACTAGAGGAAAACCATTTCACTACATTGCATCACATTTATATGTACAGTATGTGACAAATAAAGAATCCTAACTAACTCGAAAATGACAAGTAACTGCTGAAGAAGGCAAAAACCATATATGCCCACATTAATGAGCACTTATGTGAGGGGATTAAAACATACCCTCAACTCTAGTTTAAACCATTTTTTATCGCTCATAACTGTTGGAAAGAAAAAGCGCAGACACTGGAAGAGGATGAATGTTTCCAGTGCACATGTGCATGTGTTTCCAGTGTCGAGCACCTGTTTGCACATGCTATCAAATGGAGTACACTTTGAAAGTCTGTCCGTTCGACTGCACATACACAAATGTACACGTAAAAACGAAGTATACTTATAAAAGTTCCACGGTAGTTTCACAAATGGTAAGTAGGACTGTTATGCTAAATTTAGAGCCATATGGACTTTTTCTAAATCACTTAAATATCAAAAAATTATGATTGTTTATTTTGTGCTGATAGATTAGCAGTAGGCTAGACACATTATTGTCAGTTCACATAGATTAACTCATTACAATCAATATACAGAAGCACTTATATAAACAGTAAATTGTCTGATTTTTGTTTTTAAATGATATTAAAAACACATGATTATATCTTTGATATAAAGTTAATAAATCCTATCAACTGTTCTGAATCAGTTGTGCTAAACTGGCTAAATTATAACGAGGATGATTTTTAAATGCTCCAAGGCTCTTTATGGACCAGAAGCTCTCTTACAGACTACACTGGTTGTTCTTCAGAAGGGTTCATGTATGAATACTCGACCCTGAACATGCCCTTGATTTGCTGGTACTCCCCATGGAATTCCACTTCAGCCCTGCTTCCCGAGGAGCTCCACAGGAAGAGCCGAGTCCCTCTGAAGATGGTCGTCTTTAAGGCATCCACATCCCGAATCTGGGTAAGCGACGAAAACATCACACAGCATAAACATGTTTATGGTCAACCCATGGGGCATCGTTTACATCCACATTGTGTACCAAATTTAGTGCTTGCACAACTACTTATTTTTATTGGACGCCAGCTCAATGTCTATCTGACTCCCAAAACAGTCCTTTTTTTGCAAAACGCAAACCGCTTGAGTTTCATTTAGTTCACTTCAAACCCTTATAGAGTCTACAGACAGCATGATTACATCTCTTCCTTTATCAGACAAATGACTATGCTTATACACTACCGTACAAAGGTTTTGGGTCTGAAAGATTTTTGAAAGAAGTCTCCCGATTCTCACCAAGGCTGCTGTTGCTTGATCAAAAAACAGTAATATTGTGAAACATCATTACAATTTAAAATAACTTTTCTATATATTTTAAAATGTAAAAGTGTCTTCAGTGTCACACGATCCCTCAGAAATCACTCTAATATGCTGATTTGCTGCTCAAGACATTTCTTACTAAAAACAGATGTTGCTTAATATTTTTGTGGAAAATTATACTTTTTTTAAGGATTGGAAAAATCAAAGGAACAGAATTTATTTTAAATAGAAATATTTCATAACATTATAAGCGTATTTACACTTTGGATCAATTTAATGCATCCTTGCTGAAAAAAAAAATGTTTTTTTCAAAAAACGTCATCTTACTGGCCTCAAACTTTTGAATGATAGTGTTTATATAAAGGACTGATGAACAGCGACTTACCAGTATGTATGTGGAGTTTGTATCGGTGTTGTTGAGCACAGAAAGCGCTCTGATCTGAATCCTGAAAGCAGGTGGAGCATCGATGAACACGCGACAGCTCTGAGTGTTAGAGGTGGCTGCGCTCTTGATCGGATTCTCAATGAGCCCAGACGGAGAGAACAGCTGAACGTCACACTCTTGGAGGAAGATACATGCTGTGTTACATCCTTTCAGATTATTTCACTTTGCCTAACTGCACCCTATAATGACGATTCTGTCATCATTTGTTCACCTTATGTCTTTCTTTGTTCTGTGGAACAACTTGTGTTGTATGTAAAGGAGCAAAAACAGTAATATTGCACAATATTATTACCATTTAAAATAACTGATTTCTATTTTAATATATTTTCAAATGTAATTTATTCCTGTGATGGTAAAGCTGAATTTTCAGCATCATTACTCCAGTCTTCAGTGTCACATAATCCTTCAGAAATCATCCTAATATGCTGCTCAAGAAACATTTATTATTATCAATGTTATAAACAGTTGTTCTTACATTTTTAATGTCACTTGTAATCAGTTAAATTAGTCCTTGCTGAATGAAAGTATTACTTACTTTCAAAAAAATAAATAAATTTGTACTAACCTCAAACTTTTGAACGTTACGGGTGAGTAAATGATGACAGAATTTTCTGATTTTTGGATGAATTATCCCTTTACAATTACATTTGATGAATAAATATACATATTTCGTCAAGTATGAATCAAAAAGAATTAAGTTTAATGCTGTGTTTGTAATAACACACCTCCATGGTGGCTTTTTTTGTTCTTTATGCTCTGATAAAATAGCAGCACTCCATTGCCGGGGGTCAGGCGGCTCTGACGCACCAGTAGGACATTTGATTGTGATTTCAGCGTTTTACTGGTCATTCTCTCACAGAGACGCATCAGGATGAGTCTGTCATACAGGGCGATGTTCTCCTCTGAAGATTAAAGACAAACATACACACATTTCACATACTAGTACTGCATCAGATTCCTGTCTGTAAGAAATGTAAGCTCAGCACTTACTCTGCCGGCAGTTAAGAGTGCTGGATATGATTTTGATCTGAATAACCTCATCAAGAGGTCGGCCAATAGCAAATATACACCTGGCCTGAGTGACGTTGCGCAGATCGATAGTTCCTGAGTCTTGAAGCAGGAGTTGCCCACAGAAACCTGAAACCAGAGTAGATGACTTATTCCTCACAGCTTTTTTCCATTTATCCCTCCATTCATCCATCTGTTTATTCATGTAACAATCCAAAAAAATTAATTTATAGAAATTATAAATTATATTAACTATTATAATGTATGGGGAGCCAAACAGGAAGTAATTATATATAATATGAATATTAAGTTGTAATTCTGTATAGATAAATCTAAATCTGAATATATAGTTTAAATCATAAATATGTAAATGTAAAACTTGAATATATAGTTATAAGTCTGAATTTATAAATCCTGAATTTATTCATGTAAATCGTGAATATATAGTTATAAACCCTGATAATATATTGAAATGTTATACATTTTGTGAACACAATCACATTTAGAGTTCTAACTATATATTCAGATTTACATATATATTGAGAGACGAAATGTATATATTCAGAGTTTTAACCTGGGTTAATATAGTTAACTAAGGATGAAACCATAAAAAACAAAAATGAAATAAAAATAAATGTGTTGCTTGAAATAAAATGACTGGAAAAAAAAACACTGGTTCTAAATGTATCTATCAGATTTGTATCTATATATTTAAAATTATATATTTGGATTTATAAATATATTTTTACATTTCATATAATTATTTTCAGTTTGGCCCTTCATAGTAATAATACTATCTTTATGCCCATTTACAAAGTACACTTATAAATATATATAAAATATCTATTATTATGCTGACATTCTTTTACAATTAACAGCAATATCCCAGATTTAAGGAATTTCAAGATAAAAACGCTACAAAATAGAATATGCCCCATTTAGATACTGCAAAGGTTATCAGTCTTATATGGAGCTAGCAGACACTTGCCACCTAACTGGTCTGTGGTGGTTCTGTTGTTGTGCTCATGGTGCTTCTCATCACGTCTGCTGTAGGCACGATGGCTGAGAAACTCTTCCTCATCTTCATCATTCTGACAGCTGGAGCTGGTGTGGTTCTCTGTGTCCCCTCTCCTCTCCGGGCCTCTGACTGCATGTGAGTGCTGTTGGGCTCTGGTGTGGAGGTCTGAGCTGAGGAACAGTCAGGGCTATAGCAGGCCTGGATGGTGATGGGTTTTGGCAAGTGGAGGCAAAGAAAGGGACTGACAGGAAGAGGGCTGGCCACAGGTCTTTGAGCACTGGCCAATCACAGGACTCCAAACATAAACTGGAACCATTCTGGAGCGGGGCATTATGTGGGTGTCTGTACGGATCAGCTGGGTATTGGGAAGACATTTTTGAACAGATCACAAATAGACCTTATGTGTCAGAGAAACAAGTTTTTCTCTGAACTTCTGTTTTTGCGGTAGCTCTGTAGCATCACCATTAAAGAGTAATTAGCTGGTGAAGTGGATTTACTTGTTGTAGAGTTATCACGTGCATTGAAATGTTCAAAGCGGATGTCATAACACATTAGTAGACCAGGACGATTTTAAAATGAGTGGTTCATTCATACCACTGCGTCTTAGTGACATGCAACTCTTGATGCTTTGACTTCTTTTGGGTAAGTGGAGGCAAAGGAAGGGACTGACAGGAAGAGGGCTGGATGGGCCCATGCAGGACACGGTCCGAGACTGGATCCCATCACCACATGACACTGAGCACTACATTAGAGAACAGAGAGACAATGAGGAATGGAGAAGCACTGACTTTTTTTTTCTGTAATATCCAAACTGGGACTCGAGGTTGTTTGGGATAACAGCTGTGTTGTTAGCAGCATATGTAGTCTGGATCATGGATGTGTTGGCACATTACCTCACTCCATTCATGCACGTCCCAGTGGAAGGAACAGACTTGTGTGAAGCATGGTGCAGTGACGGGAGGCTTGTTTCCTGGGTCACACCGGCCCTCCTCCATGACCCTCTCTATTCCTCCTTCATACTGAACACATCGCACACTCCTCACAGCTACACCCATCCCGCATGACACCGAACAGTCACCCTGCTCTCCCACCTGCCACCTACACAATCATTACATCAGTTAAAACACCCTTACTCTAATAATATAATATAAATTCATACAATATCATTTAATAATATACAATATAATTAATATAAATCAGTTGGTTTTGGTTCAAGACAATTGGTATTAAGTGGTACTGGACATTAAGTGGTATTATTGTTAACTAAAACTAAAACGATAAAAAAAAAACATTTTCATTACTTGAAATAAAATAAACATTAGGCTTATTTTATTTCAGCTAGTTTCTACTTTCATTTCTCATTTTCATTTAGTTTGAATTAAAGTACTGAAATAACAAACTAAATAAACAAAAACTGAAACTTAATAAAAATTATATAGACATTAAAATTTTTTTATAAAAAATGCCAATAACACAACAAAATTACTAAAACTTTTAACTACAATTAAAACGAAAAAGTAAAAATAAAATGTAAAAATATTAACAAAAACTAAAGTATATATATTATACTAAAATAACACTGGACCCAACATAGAAGCAAATGTTTACTGTACAAAATTGTCATAAATTAACAAAACGGAACATTGAACAATTTCCTAAACACTGAATTTTACTAATGTTATAACAAATTGCGTAACCAAGTGGTTCTCAACTACACTTTCATGGGACCTTAAGACAACTTAAAATTATTTAAAATAAGAAAAATGCAGCTTTAAAATAAGCTAAAACAGATAACAATCAAGATATAAACTGGCATTGTATTTCTTATTTTAATTTGCAAATCTTATTTAAACCTGGAAAAGTCGTTAAATTAAAAAAAGAAAATCCTAAGAAATAATGAAAATCTATAGTGAATATAATTGTTATGTGGAGCTCTAAATTTAAAAAAGGATATTTTGAGATTACTGTATGCATGATTATAGTTGTGTAGATTATGGTTAGTTGCACTTTATTATTTGCATATAGCACTGATTCTTCACCTGCTTTCTGTGAATCAATCAGGGGTGCATTTCCCAAAATCAACTACTGTCGCAAGTTCTCCATTACCAATAGAGTTCAATGGAACTAACGACCATATTCAGCTAACGATGCTTTTGGGAAACGCACCCCAGAACAGGCCATTTTTGCTATTTTTCAGCTTATTAAAACATGCAAAAATCATTAGAAATTCTTCCAAGTGTAACAGTGAGTAATTGGATTATATTTTCTCAGCATTCCAAGCAGCCTAGTAAAATGTGTGCAACATTATGACTTATTCTGAACTAAGATGGAATGAAGATAGTTCACAATTTTCAGGATAGAAGGCTGAAATGTGTTCAGAAATGTTTGACAGCTTTACCTGGTAGGACAGGCTTCAGTATTACACTCCACCACCTCTGAAGGTCTAGCCACAGACTGACAAGCAGATTCTCCCACCACCAGATCCGTGTTTCCGTCTCCTCCCTGCACCATCTGGGAACAGTACAGGACTCTCTTTGCTACACCACCTCCACAAGACACACTGCATGGGCCCTGTATGTAGCGCCACCTGATAAAGAAGACATGCTCATCACGTGTAAATCTATAGAAGTATGTCTAGAAACCGAAAGTAGAGTTTAAGCAATGCTTACGTAGCAGGACATATTGATAGGCTGCAGGGCTGGGCGTACATCTCTGGTTTATTGGTACGATCACAAAGGAACTCTGGGACTTCAAGACGTGATTGGTGATCCACACAGGAGAACCAAACCTGCTGAGATCCTGCGTAAGCATGCAAAATTATCCACAGAGTCACAAATGAGTGTTGGCCATAATTTCAGCATTTCGCACTTACCATTCCCACAGGTCTTTGAGCACTGGCCAATCACAGGACTCCAAACATAAACTGGAACCATTCTGGAGCGGGGCATTATGTGGGTGTCTGTACGGATCAGCTGGGTATTGGGAAGACATTTTTGAACAGATCACAAATAGACCTTATGTGTCAGAGAAACAAGTTTTTCTCTGAACTTCTGTTTTTGCGGTAGCTCTGTAGCAACAGTAGTTTGGGGTTTCGAGTCAAGCGTACAGTCTGAGTCAGGCAGCTCTACTTTCACCTTACCCTGCTTCTGAACACATGTGACAGAGCGCACTTGCTCTGCCGCGCTGCAGGGTCCAAACTCACCGACCTCCCAGCTACAGCACATGCACAAAATAAGCAAAGACCCTGTCAAAATCACACCTTCAGTCCTTGCAGGTGTCATAATATTATTTATAATGAAATGTTGACTGTTGACAATAACGCAACAATCATAAGTACTCTTTTGAAACATAAAAGGGTCTCATTGACTTTACAGACATGGCCATATGAAGTCAGTGGTTTCTTATTTGGCTGTACTCAAGAAAAAAGCTATTAATCCAATTCTTTGCCAATTTTTCTGATATGTTTGAAAGGCCAATGATTCCTCTGAGGCAAAACTATGAATCTGAAACACTGAAAGGCACCTGGGTGGGCAGTCGGGCTGGAAGCAGGGCTGCAGCTGATATGGTGTTCGAGGGGGTGAACTACAGAGCTCATCTTCCAGACTCTTGAGCGTGAGACCATCCACACAGAGCTGACTGATTTTCTGGATGCCTACAACAGAGAGAGAGAGAGAGAGAGAGAGCAACCAGAGAGCAACCAAATTCATGGGCAAGACAATATTAAGCAATTGTATTGTATTTAAATTTATTACAAAACAGTATGAAGTTAAAAAAAACTTCTTACTTGTAGCATGTTTTATGTGCAGAATGTCACTGCTGATGTGTTACCTGTGCCGCAGGTGACTGAGCATGCAGATATGACAGTGGACCATCTGCCTTCAGAAGCTCTCTCAACTGAAACAGCTTCAGATGAGTAGTACTGGTATGAGATGTTTGGGGTGGTAAGGTCTCCATACTCTTGCCCGTATTTCCGAAACACCTACAAAATGAGCAGTTTTTGTTACAAACAATGATTTTTGAACATTACCATATAAAGTCACAAATAACAAAGGTCCAGTAACAAAGAAAGGTGGTACACACCTGTATGTGGATTTTGTCTGTGATTGGTCCAGAGATCGTGAGCTCTTCAGTTTGAGGCAGGTGGTCAGGTGTGAGGAACAGGTTATAGATTATGGGGCTCTTCTCCAGAGGTGAGGGGTATGTGATGCTCAGGCCTGGGCTTCCATCTCCAGACACCACATATTTATCATTTGATAACACCGCTGCAGGAAAAATGAGGGACATTTCTTACATATCATTTTTGAACTGTATTGATTATTTCTTAGGACATGCTGTACTCAGATACGATATGAATGTCTGTCAAAGTAACAAATGCCACAACAAAGCCAATCCTTCCAGACTGATGCATTTAAATTGGCCATATTTTTAATAAATGAAAAAAAAAAAAAGAGTGGTTACACGGTTTACACCCCTAAATAGTACACATTCATAAGCTTGGGGCCAGTAAGATTTCTGATAGAAATTAATACTTTTTTCCAGCAAGGACGCATTAAATTGATCAAAAGTGACAGTAAAGACCTCTATAAAATTAGAACATATTTCTATTTCAAATACATTGTTTTTTTTTACTTTCTATTCATCAGAGGGTCCTAATAAAATGTATCAGAATTTCCACATTAAAATGATTTCTGAAGGATCATGTGACACTGAAGACTGGAGTAATGATGCTGAAAATTCAGCCTTACTATCACAAAACTAATTTACATTTTAAAATATATTCAAATGGAAAACAGTTATTTTAAATTGTAATATTTGACCATATTTCAGTTTTACTGTATATTTCATCAAATAAATGCAGCCTTGGTCAGCAGAAGTGATTATTCCAAATTTTGGATTTGTTCTGTATATGAAGTCTCTGTATCTTTAAAGTATCTTTATCGTTATCTTTATAGTTATCGTCCTTGGTGTGAACAGGCCTTAATGCTTGTAAAATTAGTGACAGAATAGTAAAGAACATAGTTTTTATTCTAAACTATTTAATACTGAAATCTTCCACTGATTTCATTCTCTAAGATACACAACCACAAACCCTCTTATTCCATGATCATACAACACAATTTCAATGCTAAACTGTGTGTAAAAAACAGAATTTAGTTCTTCTAACAGGACTGACAACTGTATTCTGCTGAACGTAGCTATACTCACCAAGGTGTGTAAAAACCGGCTTCGTGTTAATCACATGGACCTGAGAGGCGTTCAGGGGAAGACTGAGGAATGTGACATACTCTTGAAAAGACAACAGGCAGAAAGAGGTTATTGTTCATATTTGAAAGCAAATGAATGGACAAATGACCTCTACTTACCTCCAGCTTCTCCGCCTGAATAGGTGTTTGAGATGAACTGACAGGTGGAGCCATTACCCCCACACACCCCACACACATCCTCCACCTTCCCAGAATGCATTACTCCATCACAGCCAAACAGCTAACCCAGAAAGTAAACAGTATGGTGAAATTTACTTGTTTAATTATATTCATACTCTGTCCAATTTTACTCAAAAGGTGGGCGAAAACATTTCAGTACTATTAATACTGAAGTCCTCTAAATTTTCTTGAGTGAAACTCAAGATGGCACCAGGGGCAAGTTCAAGCTCAAACCGGTGTGCACCGTTTTGCTACGGTTTCCGGTTTGAACGACATGTTTCCTGGAAACGGTGTGCAACGGTGTGCAACGGGGTTTGAGATACGTTTTCTCTTGTTTGGTGGGTGTGTCAAACATGTCAGCCCAATCAGCAGCAGCATGTATATAAACCACGCGGTATTAAAGAGACAGCTCGCACAATGTAATTAACATCCAAATAAATTCACAAGAGCAAGTATATTGTTTGCACATGTTTATTTACATTAAAGGCAAAATAACTGAAATAATATTGGCACAAGTATAGACCTGGAACTTCTTTAAGTCTGTCTAAATATAATTTAGTAATTGCAATGTCTTCTGGTCCATATCCTTTCCTTAGGAAGGTGTGCTAGACACTGATTAATGTAACAAAAATACTATACATAAGAATGGCCTTCTCAGCTGCCATAGTTGCAACTCTTGCGTCATCAGAACAGGGTGTTCAACGCACCACCGTTTCCGTTTAAAAAACGTTTTGCACCGTTTTTGTCAGGGATGAATGCAGCCCAGTTGTGTTTGTATGAAAAAAAAAACAAAAAAAGTCAGTATGGAAGCTTATTTCTAACATAGAATAAAAAATAAAACTGGTAAACATGACTTTTTATCTCACAATTCTGACTTTATTCTTGAAATTATGAGTTTATATCTCATAATTCAGACTTTTTTTGAGATATAAACTCGCAGACACAGTTAAGCCCCGTTCACACCAAGAACGATAACTATAAAGATAACTATAAAGATAACGATATTAGCGTCCACACC